CATAGGTGACATATAAATTAGGTTAATTACTTTTTAAATGACAGGTAAACAAACATAATCAAAACCAGTATTCAAACTCCTACCTCCTGTAATACAACGACGAGCCATTTCCCAAATGATTAATCCAAAGCTATAGATGTCAGCCATGATGTAGGGCTGGAAATGGTTTTTATTCAGGCTTTCATCCAGCACTTCTGGAGCCATGTAGCGCTTGGTGCCCACCCTGGTATTCAAGGGTATGTCAACTTCATTCGTATCACTAAGACAGGAAGAAAACAATGGTCATATTGACAGCCAACAATAGTTCAATCTGCGCTATCTAAATTCCTATCTAAATTCCTATCTTCTTTACCACAAATCCTTGGGGTCAGATGTATTATGATGTTATATATTATATAACATCCCTAGCAGGATCTGGCACAGTTATTCTGAGCCTTGGTACCTTGTCTGCCACAAAAAACTAACTCTGACTTTTTCACACTACACTGGATTAAATAAAGTACCTTTCATAAATTCGGCCGAGGATCTGTCACCAAGGATTTTTCAAAATCTGTCACATTTCTCAAAAGGTAACACTACAAGTCTACAGGGTGGCACAGTTGGTACAGTGCTTGTCTAGGAGACCCTTGGTCCCATACCCAGCACCACATACAGACAGCTCGGTGATCCAGGTTTATAACCCTAACACTAAGTAAGCACCAAGGAGGTAGGAGTGGGATGATCAAAAATTCAAGGCATCCTTGGCTAAACAGCTGGTTGCAGTTCAGCTCGGGCTACATGTGACCCTGTCTTAAGAAAAAGAAAAAAGGCAGTATTTTATTAAAAAAAAAAAACAGTTATATCTGAAGTGAATATGAAAATAAAGGAGGAATCATTTATTGTTACCATTCTTATACAATGAGCTTAGCATTTTCCCCCTCCTTTTTGAGACAGCCTTTCTGGAACTCACTTTGTAGACCAGGCTGGCCTCAAACCCAGAGATCTGCCTCCCTCTGCCTCCCGAGTGCTGGGGTTAAAGGCATATGCTACCACTGCCCGGCTAAAAGCTTAGCATTTAAATACAGAATTATATTTTATTTTTCATGGATCCAATCTACTTAGTTATAAATAAATAAAGTGATATCTATATAGTCATTCAGCAATAAATGGTGTATTAGTTTTCTGGGTTTTGAACTGAATTTTAAACTTGAAGATATGATGCTTTGTTACTTGTGCCTCTAAGTCTGGGAGGTTCTGGAAACTATTTTCCAGTGGAGACTGATACAAAGTATTGTATTTGTTATAAAATGTCTGTGGTGGTTAATCTTTATTGTCATCCTGACTAGATTTGGAAGCCACCTTTTGCTTATAGGTGAAATGTGAGCAGCTACCTCATATTCCCACCATGATGTTTTCCCTTTCATAATGGACTACAACCTGAAAACATGAACAAAACAATTCTCTTTCCTTAAAAGTTGCTTTTGTTGGGCTGACACAATAGCTTAGCCATTAAAGGTTAAAGACAAAAATTGCTGTTGTCATTTTTTGTCACAGCAACACAAAACATAATATATGAAGAAGTTGGTTCTTAAGGACAGACTCAGTGGGTAAGAATATTTGTTGCACAAACACAAGGACCTGAGTTTAAATCCCCAGCCACCAAGCTGGGTATGTCCAACAATAACCTCACTGCTATGGTAGAAAAAAACAGGCGTTCACTGGGGCTTTGAGCCACCAGCCTCACTTCAGGTTTAGTGAGAGACCCTTTCTCAAGGGAATAACAGAATAAGAGCAGGATATTGAAGGTCCTCCTCTGGCTTCTGCATGTACATCAGTATATACCATACAGAGAGGAGGAGGGGTGATAAACTTGACAGTGTGACTGACATGCCTTTAGAACTAGCTCATGGGAGGAATGTGGAAGAGTTTATATTTGCATGCTAGAGAAGCCTGTGAATGATGAGAGCAGATCTTACTGGGCCATTCTGATAGGAATCTGGAAGACCAGAATGCTGAGTAAAATGTAGAAAGTGGAGGCCTGGTTCATGATGCTTTAAGGAACAAGGACTCTACTGAGCAAGTTATGTTCTACCTTGGCAAGAATAGGGATGAAATCTTCCTAGGTCCTGAAAACTCATACAAGGATGAATTAAAAACAATGAAGTAAGGCCTGGAGAGACAGCTCAGCTGTTAAAAGCACAATGCTTTTCCAGAGGACCTGAGTTTAATTTCCTGCACCCACATAGTGGCTGTGGCCACCTGCAGCCCCAGCTTCAGGAGACTTGATGCCCTCTTCTGGCCTCTGACAGAAGTGTATGCACATGCAAAATATCCATTCACATAAAAATAAAGCTGGGCCTTTAATACCAATACTCGGGAGGCAGAAGCAGGCCGATCTCTGTGAGTTGGAGGCCAGCCTGATCTACAGAGTCAATTCCAGGATAGCCAGAGCTACACAGAGAAACCCTGACTCAAAAAACACCTCCCTGCCCCCCCCACAACAATGAGCTGATTTTTTTTTTTTTTAAAGATCCATTTTATTTGTGTTCATGTGTATGTGTATGCTATGTGAATGCAGGTATCTGCAGATGGCAGAGAGGGCAGTGAATCCCCTGGAGTTGAAGTTATAGGTGATTGTGGGCCTCTCATATGGGTGCTGGAAACAGCAGTAAGTGTTCTTAACTATTGAGTCATCTCTCTAACCCCAAGGACTAAGTTTCTTGGTAGAGGAAACCTGAAGACAGTATGACAGTCTAGCTGTGGCATGGTTCATTCTTTCTTGTGTTGCAAGGGGGCACATGTGTGGAGGTCAGAGGACAACTTGCAGGAGTCAGTTCTTTCCTTCACCATTTAGATTCCAGGGATGAAACCACTGTCAGGCTTGGTGGCAAGTACCTTTACCCACTCAGCCATGTCACTGTACCCTACTTATTTTTTAAAAGAGTATAAAATTATTGGCCACTATTCACCATTACATACAACACAAAGTTAGGTAACATTCCAATACTTCAAAATTATTTTCCTGACTTCTGCTGAACAAATACAAACACACACACACAAAAGGTAGAACCTATACAGAAAGGATGAGTTGTGTTAAAATAAAAGCACAAAGGTCAAAAATTTACACTACAATAAATATTTTGCTCACTCATTTATGGCAGCCAAGTCCTAAACTGCCAAGGTGCCTAATCATGCAAGTACACTTCTACTAATCATCTTTACTATCCCACAAGTCATAACCTTTTAGTATACTGACTTGAACTTTGTATAAAGGACTGGGTCACTGAAGTCTTGCTTGGGTCAATTAAAACCAGTGTTGTTTCTTTAAGTCAGGGAGCTACTGACAATGATAAAATTTTGTCTTTCACTGATTGTACAAATAAATTATTATATATATGACATCATAAATTTATGAATATACTATATATTATATATTCATGAATTTAAAATTTCCCAACCAAAATTTACAATTAACTATTAACTACAGAATCATCTATCTAATTAGAAAAGTGTGGTTTCAGTAAATTTTTTTATTCAGGAAATTCAAAGCAAGCCATATATCTGCTTCTGACTTCATGCAATGGCATGAGCCACTGTTCCTATCACTATCCAAAATGATCCTATAGAGAAGAATCTTCCTAGTTTGAGCTGCCAAGGCACAGGCAGGCCAGTACAGCTATGGCAGAAAGGGACCAGGCTTACTAAATGAAGAGAAATCAGAAGAATTCGTTGGAATCACCATGTGGTTCAGCAAACACAGAAATGAAAAAGTCATATGGCCATGGAGACTTTATCAAGATTCTTTAAAAGAATATGTAGCAGGGTTGAATTCCCTAAAATAAGAGATCTGGAAAGTTGGAGATTCTAGAACTATAAATGTCCACTGAAGAAAAGCTGTAAGTATGGAATAGAGCCAGCCTAAGACAGAGGGGCTACATTTACTGCCGGCAGCAAAACAGGATGGATGGGGTGATCCAAGTTCACTGGAGCCCAAATGATGCCATCACAAGCATCAGGAACCAGATATGGAGCTGCAGGGCCAAGTGGTTGTTCCAGGTTTCAGTCTTGCTTTTGTCTAGTTCCCTTGCTATGTGTGTATTCTTTCCTTTTGGAATGGAAATGTTTATTCTGTGACATAGTATATTGGAAATATCTACCTTAATTTTGATCTCATAAAAGGCTCACAGTTAATGCATTGCTCCAATTATGTGAAAGTCTGACTTTGAGCTTTTGTTATTGTTGCTGCTTTGTTTATATGGTTTTGTTTAGTGTGTGTGTGTGTGTGTGTGTGTGTGTGTGTGTGTGTGTGTTTTAAGTCAAGGTCTCTCTATTATGTAGCTCTGGCTGTCCTGGAACTCACTATGTAATGCAGGCTGACCTCAAACTCAGAGAATTAACATGCCTCTACCTCCCGAGTGCTGGGATTAGAGGTGTATACCATCACACCTTGCACTGAACCCTGGCTTTAAGCAACAACAGAACTGTTAAGGCTTTAGGGACTCTTACAGAGAGCTAAATCCGTTTTGCATGAATACCATGAGGTAACTCATGAATGTCGATAATCAAGGGTGGAATAAATGTCATGAGTCTGGGTGTCAAGTTGGCAAGAAGCAGACCTGTGGTACTTAACTGTCTATATGAATGGATTTGGGATCTTAAATTTAAGATACACAATTTTGATGTATGTATGCAGTTATCCCAGAGGTTTCAGTAAGGAGGATAACCTAACCTGGATGTAGGCAGCACCAGCTAGAGCCCAGACTGAATAACAAGGGGAAATTCAAAGCAAGCCATATATCTGCTTCTGACTTCATGCAATGGCATGAGCCACTGTTCCTATCACTATGTTCTCCCTGCCATGATGGACTGATAATACCCTTAAATCACCAGCCACATTAAACCTTTTCTTCCTTTAGTTGCTTTTTGTCAGGCATTTCATCTTGGTAAATAGGAAAAAAAAATAACACAACATCTGATGAATACTTAAGCCAACAAATATCACACTGATAAAGAACACAATG